GAGGGTCAGAGGGAGAAGCAGGTTCCTTGCTGAGCAGGGAGCCCGATGCGGGACTCGATCCAGGGACTCCAGGATCATGACCTGAGCCGAAGGCAGTCGCTTAACCAACTGAGCCACCCAGGCGCCCTAACTATTTCACTTCTAATTATTATTCTTTTTATTTCTTCTTGCAGTTTTTATCTTTTTATATGAGATTTCTCTAATATTTTACCACAGTGTAAAATTAACTTTGCTTTATAATTCTTTTTTTATATATAAATTTGATGTCTTTTTATAAATTTGTGTAGAACTGTAGTAAAAGCCCCTGGTACTTATTAACAAAGTGATAGAACTTATATTGTTAAAATTAATTGTGTTTTGTATTTATTCAACTGTTTTTCTGTTTTTAATTAGCCTTGCAGTATTATAATGAACATTTCTTGATTCCTTACTATGTGCAAGGCTCTGTTTTAAGAGATTCACAAATACTGAGTATTATCCCAATTAGATTTCCCAATAAACCAAGGACATAGGCTCCATAATAATCTCCATTCTACATGAGAGGAAACTAGTCACAGTGGGTTAAAAAAAAATCAGAAACACATATCAGGAACCACCTATAAATTAGCAAGAGATCATTTGGTGTTTACAAATTCTGCCCCCCGCCAAAATATTGAAATGCAAAGAAAGGATGGACCCCAAAGTTTAAAGGTAGGGAGTCTAATCCCCCTAGATCTTCAACACACTGCTTAGGACTTGCTCTATCGCAGAACATGTCCGTGCAAGGGAGATGGCGTTCACCATGGAGTGGGAATGACATTCGTTGGGATCTGTTCCTAGGGAGGAAAACACATAAGCAATCAAACCTTATGACTCACCCAGTTGCTCAAAATGAGGATCCCTTTCCTTATACTGTCTTCAATGAATCTTACACCTTAAAGAATCATGTGCTTTATACCAAACTTCTGTCTGGTGAGTGACAATTCCTGCTTATTGGTTCCCTTTTTCAGAATCTGGTCACACCCGGGGATAAGGAAGGCTGCCCAAGCTCATCTTCTCTGATATCTTAATATTATAGTATATAGTATATAAATTAATATATTTTAGGAGTGGGGCCCATTGAGTGAGAGCTGCTCTGACTGCAAGTCTCTCAGCCCCCATCCTTTCTCAAGTTCCAGGATGGTGGTCCCGAGGATCACTAGGGTCCCAGGGATGGCCGCTCTCATGATGTCCTTGGTGATGCTAAGCTCCCCTTTGGTTCAGAGCAGAGACACCCCAGGTAAGTTCAGAGCTGCTCCTCTTGGAGTATCCAGCTCAGGGGAATGACCTTAGGGGGCTTTCTATGTGGGCTCACTCCCTGAGAAAGACTTTGGGGCTCTGACATCGTGCAGGGGCTGCTATTCTCAGCAGAGTGAGGAGATCAGGGTGTGCATGTGATGGGGACAATGGTACCTGGTGGTCTGGAGTGATTTTGGAAGGACAAGATTCTCACAAAGGGGTCATCAAAATGACATTTCAACATCCATCAAAGATCAGAAAGGGGAAATTATGGTTAGTCTGCATTGTCCAAGATCTGAAGATCACTCTGTAGAATCAGTGCTCCAGGTAGGGACCCCTTCCACAGAACTAGGCAGGAGCCCTCGCTGGAACCAGTGAGGAACCAGTGAGGAACCAGTGATGGCCAGAGTAGCAGAGGAGAGTGATGAGGATAAGCTATGGTTAAGGTAAAATATTAGAGAAATCTCGTATAAAAAGATAAAAACTGCAAGAAGAAATAAAAAGAATAATAATTAGAAGAGAAATAGTTAATATTTTTTGCATTCTGATTATAAGGAACTATGCTAGGCCTTGTGGGGCAGCTGACCATACCCCCACATCCTCCATGTCCAGAACTCCCACATCCAACACATTAGGATAGGGCTGGAGAGGAAGTGAGAAACAGGAAGTGGCATCTCCTTAAGCTGCCCCTTATGCATAATTTAATATTATAACTTCTAGTTTTTTGTATCAAAGCCTCATAACACCTCTTAATTTCTAGTTCCAATTTACCACCAAGACCATGTGTAATAGAGTGGTGAGCAGTTTATGTTAAAATTCTCCATCTGAAACAGATACTCATCCATATCCCTACACTTTGCTCCAGGCCCAGGGACCCTGTGGGAAACATGACCTTAATTGACAATTGAGATTCAGACATCAGTAAGCCAGCTAACATACTGGGATCTGCAAAGATGGTTGCAGATGCCCCTGAAAAAATATGGGGGGCGGGAATAAAGTAAAGCCTGGCAGGATGGGGCAGGTAGAGGACTAGTGGATAGAGTACAGTATGACATGGTATAAAAGAGACATTAAGTTACTAAAGGCTTAACAAATTTACCATGGGAAACTCCTGCAAAACAGTGTGTCTACTGGAAAATGGATCTTTTCTGCTGCCTGGAGGAGGAGAGGAGCCCTGGGGGTCAGAGTCCAGAAGTGATCAGAATTCTGGGTGAAATAAAAAGGGGGGTGAACAAAGGAGGTTAGCAGCAGGATGGAGATGAGATGAATAGTTCAGAGTAAATCAACCCCGCAGTGACACCAACAATCCTTGTGCCCTCCACCCCATGCTAGGGAAGTACCCAGGGCAGAGCAAACATTCTCTAGACTTGGTAGGCTCAGAAACTGCAATAACTACATCCACATTACAGGTCCAAGTTATGTGCTCCTAGGGAACTGAAGATATAAGACTGAGGAAAGGCCCTGGAGTCACAAAGAAGGCACCAGAAATGTCTAACACACACAAGTATTTATTGATCCTTGGGATTACTCGGAAAGAATGCTCTGTAGGGAGGAGCCTCAGAGGAAACCAGGGCCTATAGACCATCCAGTGTGGGGACTAAATTGTCACCATACATCAAATTCCAACATTTATTGAGTGCTAAATGCGAGTAGGATCACAGGCAGGAATTGGAGGGGGCTTTGGGGACATCAGTCATTGGTGTTGAGCACAGACTTTCAGAGGCATTGGAGCTTTGAAGTAGATCTGATGCTGGGGATTCCCCTATGTCCTCTTATGTCACAAAGGGTTGTCACCTGCAGTAGGACAAACACGGTGGGGTTAGAACTCCCGGTTTAGCTTTGCATCCTCCATCCCTTTACACCTGCCTCCTTCATTTTCTTTCCTCACCGACCCCTCGGGAGGTAGTCTTCGCAGCAAATGTTGTTGCCCCCAGAGGAGGATCAGTGAGAAGTCAAGGGGCACCCTAGGGAGATGTCATTTCACTCTTCAGCTCTCCACAGTGCTCTGAAACTCCTGAGACAGTGAGGCCCAGCAACGCGATGATGAAAGTTGAAGGAGGTAGAAGTTGGGCACAGTATGTGAAGCCGCTCTTTAAAGGGGCGCCAATAACCCTTCAATACTGGCCCAGTGGATATTTACCTTAGTTGCCAGATTATAAACATCTAACATCACTAAATACTTCCTTGTTCCTGAAATTTCTGCTCCCTTGCCTTAGGTGACGAAATATTCTTCTAATTCTCCCGCCTCTCTGCTTCTTTGAAGTCTCTTGGAACACATCTCTTTCTTGCATTTTTTTAAGTAGACTCCACGGAAATCCTGGGATCGAGTCCCGCATTGGGCTCCCTGCTGAGCAGGGAGTCTGCTTCTCTCTCTCCCTCTACCTGGAAATAATGTGTCACTTCTCACACTTCATTATCCAAAGCAAATCACATGGATGTACCCAACTTCAAAAGAGTTGGAATCTTTGGAGGTAAAAACTATTCAATAAGTAGACATTAAATAAATAATATATCACTCATTTATACCAGACACATGTATTGAGGACTTATTTTGTATAAGGAACTATGCTAGGCCTTGTGGATAAAAGGAGCTTGTAGCTCCTAAAAGGTTTACAAATTATCTACTGGCCTAAAGAGGGCCTCTAGGGTGTTGGCAATGTTCTATTCCCTGACCTAGGTACTAGTTACATGGGTGTTCTCTTGATAATCATTGGCTGTACATTAATGTTTTGTGTATTTTTACATATGTCTGCTAGTTCACAGTAAAAGGGTTTAAAAAGAGAGGTAAAGAAGGATATTGGTAATTTGAGGCAAAAACAAGAAACCAATTATCAAGCAGAAATAATGAGTTTTAATAATGGTTGGAATAAAGAATATTTAAATGAAACAACTACTGGGACTTCTGCAACTGAAGAATTAATAAACAAGAGGTCGGACTGCTCTGAAGGGCAGTGTGAAAGATTAAGCAATAGGAAATATAAAAGAAAAGCTGTGAGACATGAAGGATCAAAACTGACATCCTGACATCTTGATAATCAGACACCTAGAAAGTGGGGAAAATAGTAAAAGGAGGTGAAATGTCTGAAAAAAAGAATAGATTTCTAGGCTTTATAGAAAGATGATACAACTTAGTTTGACATGGTACACTGATGACAAATAGATTTTTTTTAAGATTTTTTATTTTTTATTAGAGAGAGAGTACAAGCAGGGGGAGCAGCAGGTAGAGGGAGAGGGAGAAATAGACTCCCCGCTCAGCAGGGAGCCCAATGCAGGACTCGATCCCAGGACCCTGGAATCATGACCTGGGCCGAAGGCAGCTGCTTAACCGACTGAGCCACCCAGGCGCCCCGACAAATAGATTTTTTAAAAACACATCTCTTTAAAAAGCACACATATTTAGATACATTATAAGAAAACTGTAAGAACTTCAAAGAAAAAAAAAATTCTCAACACTTGCAGAGAGAGCAGTTCCACCTATAAAAGAACAAGAGCAGATCCATCTGGAAAAGAACAAATAGACATCATTCCTATCAACAGCAGCACTTAATGCCAGAACACAATGAGATGTTACTTACATAGAATTAAAGAAAAAGAACTTTCAATCCCAAAATGTATACCCATAACACATGGTCATTTTAATACAACATGAATATTCTCAAACATTTCAACCTCAGATGCTTTGCTATTCAAAAAAACACTTTTAAAATACTTTTTAAAATTTTTAAAGAGATTTTATTTATCTGAGACAGAGAGAGAGTGTGCACAAGTTGGGGGAGGGCCAGAGGGAGAAGCAGGCTCCCCACTGAGCAGGGAGCCTGATGCAGGGCTTGATCTCAGGACCCTGGGATCATGACCTGAGCTGAAGGCAGCCGGTTAACCAACTGAGCCACCCAGGCGCCCCTAAAATACTTTTTTAAAAAGCACCCTTAAGGGGTGCCTGGGTGGCTCAGTCAGTTAAGTGTCCTCTTTCGGCTCAGGTCATAATCCCAGGGTCCCAGGATCGAGCCCTGTTTTGGGCTCCCTGCTCAGAGGAGAGCCTGCTTCTCCCTCTCCTTCTGCCTGCTGTTCTGCCTACCTGTGCTCTCTCTCTCTATCTCTCTGTCAAATAAATAAATAAAAATCTTTTTAAAAAAAATAATAAATTAAAAAAAGAGAAACACATCTAAGAGAGATGTGGAAAATAAAAAAGATCAAATAATTTTTAAAAGTTATTGTTATCTTAAAAAGCAGAGGCTAATTTTTTTTAAAGTAAGAAAAACGTGGGACGCCTGGGTGGCTCAGTCAGTTAAGCGTCTGCCTTCGGCTCAGGTCATGATCCCAGGGTCCTGGGATTGAGACCTGCATTGGGCTCCCTGCTCAACAGAGAGCCTGCTTCTCCCCCTACTTGTGCATGCTCTCTCTCTCTCACACACAAATAAATAAATAAAATCTTTTTTAAAAAAGTAAGAAAAAAGTGTTTAAAACAAAAAAAACTAAAAATGTAGTTAATATTAACATAAAGAAGATGCTAGGTAGTGATAATAGGGAGAAATGAAAAATACTGCAAAGTGCTTGTCTCTTTTGTGAGGCAGGAAGAAAAAGGGATTTATCAGTGTTTTAATCAATGTAATTAAGGGCATTAAGATAAGCCATTTTATGAGTATAATTAGAAACTACAACTTTTATAGTAACAGAATTTGGCCTAGCCTTTAGGAATGAGAGATGAGAAAAATGAACAAGAATAAAGTATATTAAATAAACATTTTAATAATATGATAGTAAATTTTTAATATAATAGGAATTGCAATAAATTGAATGAGCTAAACAACCAATTAAAAAGAAGAGAAGCTCAGATTGTGTCTTCAACACAGTCTAACAAAGTCACACAGAATAAATGAATATCGAAAGGTCAAAAACCAAATAATGGAAAACGGCACTTCAGGCAGGTAAACAAAGATAACTGACATAACAAATCTCACATCTGCCAAAAGAGAATTAAAGGCGAGTGAGAAAACTAGAGCAAGAAACTATAATGAACATGAACATATATTCTTCTGAAAATAAAACCTCAAAATACAAGAGCAACACATGACAGAAATAAGTGGAGAAAGACTCTAAAAATTGAAAATCTTCAAATTAAACTGCAGATTTTAACATATCCTCAAAAACTAAGAGCAGAAGCAAAAAGAAAATAAACAAAGATATAGAAGATCTTAATAATACAAGTAAAAGGCTCAGATAACTACATAGAGATTTCCGCAGCCAACAACATGCACATTGTTTTCAAGCATACATGGCACATTTCTGAAAACAACATTTATTAAGCCACAAAGAAAGCCTCAGTGTGTTCAAATTAATATCACATATGTTCTTTGGCCATAATGCAATTGAATTCTAAATTGATGAAAAAAATAAACAAATGAACTCCATATACCTCAAATATACAATTAAATAACCATAGGAATGAAACTATAAATGACGGAACACTTAGTAGTCAGTGAAAACCTGTATATCAAAAGTAGTGCCTAGAAAGAAACATCTAGCTTTTAAACAAATATATTAGGAAAGGAAGCCTGGAAACGAATGTGCTAATCATTTCCATTAAGAGAATGGGAAAGCAGAAAAACAGCAAAAGAAAAAAAAATGTAAATAATAAAGACAAGGACAGAATTCAGTGAACTAGAGAACAAAAAATAGGGAAGATAAACAAAATCAAAGTTTGATTCAATGGAAAGTTTAAAAAGGCCGACAGACCCATCTGGCAAAACTGTTAAGGAAAATGTAGGAGATTCAGAATGAAAAGGAAAAAGGACTATATACACAGACATTTTTAAATGAAAAAAAGTTTGTTATGATCAACTCTATTCCAATAAATCTGAAAATTTAGATTAGATGGATACATTTCTAGAAAGATAAAAAGGTCAAAACTACAGGAAGTAATAGAAACCTGAAATAGAGTCATGAGCATCGAAGACACCAGCTTGGAAAGCAAAGAACACCTTCCAACAGTCCCTGTCCTAACATGGCAGCTAGGACATTTCAAAAACAAATCGTTCCTCTCTTATACATGTCATTCTAGAACACAGAAAGGAACAAAAGCTTTCTGAATCATCTTATAAGGCTGGTGCATCTTTATCTTCAGAGCCAGCTAAGGATAGTACAGGAGAAGAAAATTATGGATTAATGTCAGCCATGTCACTGAATCCAACAATATATTACAAGCATGATTCATTTCGATCAAATAAGATTTGTACTAGGATAGTGTAAGTGCATGACTATTAGTTTATTTTATTGTAATGTAAGTGCCTGACATTAAGTTTTTGATTGCCAATGCATCCATCTCAAAGATATCCATCGAAAAGACACATATTGCCTGATATACAACTAGATAAAGAATAAAGAGCCCGGCTGCCCTCCCCCCCCCCATGAAATTGCCCTTTTAGAAAGCCCTGGGTGACCTAGATAACAATAACAGACTGCTTGAGTGACCCTGCTTTTCCCTTCCTGCACTTTAATTCCAGTTCTTACATTTTAAATTCACCAAAGAGAGTGGCCCTGTGAAATCTGAGGCACCCCTTCCTCAACCCCAATAATGGCAGATCTCCAGATCTCTCCCACCCCCCACAACCTCACTGTGTGGCTTTGGGCAGGCCATGTACCCTCCAGGACTTGTGAGTAATAAGCTAATAAATCTTGTTTTTTTCAAAGTTCCCTGATGGTTGTTGCTGAGGAGTGTCTTGCAGTCACAAGAACCACAAGGGCCTGTTTGGGAAATGTCTACCACAAGTGGTAGTGACCCAGATGAGTGCCGCCAGGCATTCCTAGCTGAATGGCATCACCATGGATAGGCTGAGACCACACAAAACACCTAAGAATGCAGTGAAGTCACAAAGTCAGAAAATCAATAATATGATCAAAAAAAAAATCAGTAGACCAAGAACATTCATATTAATTTCAACAGAATTCAACTCAATAAGTGCATAAACAATTTGATCAATTTTATCACATGTAAAGGTTATTAACCAAAAATCTATAGCAAATATATTTATGGAGAAATTAAATGCATTCCCTTTGAGATTATGCAAAAGGTAGGATGTCCTTTATAATTACAAATGTTTAACACAGTATTGGAGGTTCATGGACATCACTATGACAACAGAAGAAAATCAAGGTTATGAAGATTGTCAGGGAGAGATAAAATGACTGCAGATGATATATATAATCTACACATTGGATAAGACTGAGCCTCTGGAGCCCCAAGGCCTGAGTTCAAATCCAGACTCTGGACCTTTCAAGCTGTGTGACCTTGGACAGGCTCCTTCACCCCTCTTCATGTCTGCTTCCCCCTCTGTATGATGGGAAATAATGGTACCAACCTCCAGACATAAGTAAGTGAATACATATGAAGCATACAGAATAGTGCCTGGTAAGTAGTAAGCAACTCAACTGATGTTCTTTATCATGGTATTGTTTTCCTCTAGTCAGTGATTCTGCAATACAAAGTGCTCAAAGAACCCCTGTTGAAGTGTTTCTCCTTCCCATCCACCACCCATACCGGGCTGCCTCCTTTTTTGCACCATGTCCCTGGTACCAGCTCTCAGATGACTCACGGGAGCCCCTGCACCCAGGGATGCTGTCGGGCCGCCCGGTCTTCAGGACAGTGATGCCAGTGATGATGCCCACCACACCTGCCACCAGGCCCAGGACACAGACCACAGTCTCCTTCGTCTCACGCACCCAGATTGGCTCCTGGGCCTCTGGGGCACAAAGGAAAGACAGAGTTAGAAGGCACAGAGAGCAGGAGCTGGCCTCAGGTGTAGGAGTATGAAGAGTTAGGAAGCGTGAGATCACCGGTGAAGTTTGGATAAAGTGACTATAAGACACGCGAGATTAAGGAAAGCAGGTGCTGCAGAGAGATGGATCCTGGAAATAAAGATGGTGTCAGGACAGTGCTGGCAAAGGGTCGGGGCTCCATACCCCAGTGCTGAAGGAGCGGCTGGTCCAGGCCCCAGTGCTCCACCTTGCAGTCATAGACGTCTTCAGCCGTGGGAAGGAAGGTTAGGTAGTGGAACTTGTGGAATCTGAATTCTGTGCTGGGCAGGAAGATGGTCTCAGCTATACCTTCGGTGACCATCTGCCCATTGTGCAGCCATGTGACATTGAGCACAGGTGGGAAGAACTTGTCCACATGACAGATGAGGGTGTTGGGCTGTCCCAGCTCCACAGGCTCCTTGGGAAACACAGTCACCTCAGATGGCTCTGAGAAGGGACAGGACCTGGTAAGTCTGCTACCTTTGGCTGAACTCAAGGTCTCCACATTCCTAACCCCTATATTCTCCGGGTTAGGGGCCATCTCTCTCATGCTGACACTTTGCCCCCATCCCCACCCATGGCTTCTAGATCAAAGTCATGGCTCGTCATGCTCCTGACTGGCCTCCCCCAGCCCAACCTTGTTCTTGAATAGAAGAAAATGACTCCTTTGATGACGTAAGCACCAAGCTTTGTGGACTGAATATTGCTCACTCATGAGGAGATGTTCATTCATGAGTGGACATCTGAGTCTCCCATTCTCTATGCAGCAGAGGCGCTCTCCCATCTCCACAGTTGGGTGGTAGAAAAATAAGCAAGAGCAAGCAGTACCATTTGTGGCCCTGGTGTGGTTCGACCATTGGATCAGGGTAGTCAGGTTCTTCTTTGACCCGACAATGTCAGCAATACCCCTCCAAGCATCATAGTCAAAGGCATGAATAAACTCTGGCAGATGCCAGACAGTCTCCTTCTTATCCAGGTCCACATAGAACTGCTCATCCTCATCAAACTCAAACATGTACTCCCCAGAGGGTCTGTGTGTCTGGACAAACTCGGCATACATTGACACGTGGCCCACTGCATGAAGAAGAAGGGAGATTGGAGAACAGGTGATTATGTAGGAAAGTAAACAGAACACAGGAAGCAAACAGTAATAACATGAATGAATAACACAGAAAATGAGAAATGCAAAATGAAAGAAAAGAAATGGGAAGAAACTATGAAAGAAATGACTTACTGAGAATTCAGGTTGTTTCCCTTGTTCCTAAAAACTTAAGCATCCATCACTCCAGCACAATAACAATCACACTGAACACAATAATAAGGTAATATTTATGGAGAACTTACTATGTGTTCAATTTATTCTTTGCATCTTCACACCCCCACGTAAAGCATTCTTTTGCATATTAGGGACATGCCCACAGAGGTTAAGTAACTGGCCCAGGGTAGCAGGCTCCTGGTAGAAGCAAGATTGAATCATCTCCCCACCCACATACATAATATCTCAGAATCCTTGTAGGACCAGACATATAAAATTAGTGATAAAGCCACAGAGTGAGGTGGGGGGAGGGGAGAATGGAATAAAAATCTTTCAGAGTGGAAAATCTTTTAAATTTTGAAGGAAATGAAAAGATGATTCTTGGTGCCATTTATAGACTTTTAGTTACTTTTTTAGCTTTAGAATAAAAATGGTAGATTATGTAATTTTGTCCACAACACCTTCATTTAAGGTAAATCAAATTTTAAAGTGTTATTATTCACACAACATTCACAAATTTTCTTGTGGACTTTATGCTCTTAAAGGTAATTTCCCCTGGAAATAAAGGTTGTTGGATTTGAAACACTTATGGGATAGCATCTTAGTTTTACCTGATGTGTAAGAAGCAGCAAAAGTTTAAACAGTGGTGTCCCAATGAAGTACTAGATATTGTTTATGTAAGAATGAGCTTTAAAAAAAAAACATCCTGGGGTGCCTGGGTGGCTCAGTCGTTAAGCGGCTCCCTTCGGCTCAGGTCATGATCCCAGGG